TTTTTTTTTTCTTTTGAAGTATCAGATACACTGTTAACCTTACAGATACAGATTTTTGAGTGTAATAATGTTTCAAAAGTACTGCTTTGAAGAACATTATTACTGAAAAAGCTGTTATTACCAGTGAACTATATAAAGTAATAAAACAAGTAGGTTGAATTGGTTGGTTAAAAAAAAAAATTGTTGTACTATGTTAAAGCAACTAAATATGTCTTTCAACTGTACTAACGGTATACCAGTCAAGTGTGTATAAGTCAATATCAATTCAACTTCTTCAAGTTTTAGTAAAATATTTGTGCAACTTAAACAAGTCTTGGTAGTACAATATTACAGATTTAATAAACAGAGTTTAACCAAAGTTATTGATGAGTAAAAAAAACGAAAAAATTTTATTTCAAATAAAACAAGAATTTTAGTAAATACTATTCAATTTTAGGTGCTAACTGAAACTGTTATGTAGACGTTTGGTAAGCATAGCGGATCTTTATAAACAAATATAACTAAATAATCCAAAAACAAGGCTCTGAGACAAAGCAGAGTAAATTTTACTAAGTAATTCTGGTTAGTTATTCATCTTGAGAATCATTGCTGTTCTCCAAAATTTAAACATGTTAACTAATTTAAACATGTTAAAGTTTTTTAAAAAAGTATCCTGCTACCTAGTTTTTGCCTTAAATGAAAAACTCTTGTTTAAATATGCATATTTATTGTCGAAACAGTCAAATGAATTTGTCGAGTATCTAATTTTATTGGGAAAGAATAACACCAATTAAATAATTTTTTTTTTTGGTGAAAGTGACCTAAGTTAGGATTGAGGCCTCTTTATACTCAGTGGAAATTTGTTAGCTAAGAAAGCATTTGCAGTGCTTTAGTTTTGATGTTTTTTCTGCGTATTGCAGTTTTGATAGTACAATTTAAGAAGCTTTTCACTCAGATTGGTGCAATTATAAATTGCTCAAAAGAATTTCTCAATGCAAGTGCAACCTTATCGAACGACCAATTTTGTACGTGTAGTCAGTCAGCTTTAATAAGTATTAGTTGCGCAATGCAGGCAAAAAAAAAAGAGTCGAATACAGCTCTAATAAAAAAGCTGCATTTTTATATGTTTAAAGTTTAGAAAAAAGTATTTATTACCTGCATAGGCAATTGAATAAAATTACAACAGTAAATTTACATTGACAAATTCAAAAAATTGATTTAAACACCACTTTACTGGTTCTCTTCTAGACCTTGGCTAAGAAACAAATAGAGTTTTCTGTTATCTGCAACAAAGTTAAACATCAAATTTTTTGCACATAAATCGCTAATATAAAATATCGACAAAGACATAATTTTCGGATATGCTATAAACAATACAAAGAAAGTTCAGTGTACTAGTTTTTAGTTATTAGTCTTCAGTTAAACATTCTTCTTTGACCTGATTTACTTATCTCAGAAAAATCTTTTGTTTTATGGAGGAATGTATGCTGAAACTTCTTCCAAACATTACTTATTGTTTTTGCAATTTTCCTGCACCCATTTAATCAAAATTACCACTTAATGCTAGCTCACTTAGAATAATTTATAGACAAATTCAGACCATCGTATTTTTTCATTTTAAATTTTCAGTTATTGAAATAAAAAGTAAGACTAAAAGAATCAAAAAATTAGAACTGTTTTGACCTTTAAATTAGTAAAGCAATCCTATGCAGTATTATTACTGTCATTTCAGTTATTCAAACAAAAAAAATTTTCTTTTGAAGGCACAGGGCAAGAGGTATTTTTAACTTAATTTGCCTTCTGTTAAAGCTTTTTTTCTAGATTATACACTTACATGGTTATGAAGTTGTGATCAGCTTAATAAAGGTTTATGTACGAACAACAATTCTTATTTAACAGCTAAAATTTTTCTTTTGTTTTTTTTAAAAAAAAGACCTTGTCGTTTTCAAATTACCGATAACTGTAATCAATTGTTTTTCTAAAAATTTGCTTTTGTTTTTGAATTTGAAGAAATAGAATCCACCTTTTTTTATTTTTAGTCACATTTAACACTTACTGAGTTGGAAACATAGACTGGCAGTAAAATTCTTAACTGGTAGTTCTGATTAGTCTGAGTTTTGGTTACTTTATAATTCACAGTTTATTTTTTTGAGTTTTCAGCAGTTTTTCATAAAACAACCGAGAAATAACTATTCTTTTCCACTTCAAGAAGTTTTGTTTTTCCGTAACTGTTGCCAGTTTTAACAGAAGGTACTATAAATGACAAGGTACAGAAACTCTTAGCCGCTTATGCAGCAGAAGTAGATTCTAAGTTTCTAAATAAAAGCTCATTTTCGACGGCCGAGAACTCACTACCACTAATTTTAAAAAGTTCTGTAAGAGTTTCTTGAGAAAAAACGAAATAACAGTTGAGGCAAGTAAGCTTTACATTGATTTCTTTCTATATTTCAACTTTTATAAGCTATATTTTACCGTAAAGTTTCTGCGGGAATGACTTATTACACTTATTATGTATTTAGACATGACTCAGCAAGAATGGTTGATTATAAACGTCTACAAACTGTTCAATCTGATAAACAAAGGAAGACCATGGTCATTCAGGGGAAGCTAGTGTAACCAGAAACTTTTTTTTTTTTTTTTGAGTTTCTTTACAGAGCGTCAGTGAATCAAAGCTGTGTTTCAGAAGTATACACATCAAACAGAAGCTAGGCAAGAAAAGAATGATTATGAAGTTACTGTTTGTCATATCATGTCATTAGATACTTTGCTTGCAGGTAGATATCGAATCTGCCTTATAGATCGACTTATGCTTTATAATATATACTTTAAATGTACTACACAATTTGTAATTTTTCTTAACATGCAGTGAGTTAGAACTTTGCAAAGTTTTGCAGTTTGTTTCTGAGAGGTTAAGTCGTTTTCTTTTAAGAAATGCATTTTTTATTTGGTTTGTAGTAGAGTCGTCCGGCAAAGTTGTTGCTCGCACGATTGAAAATATCGGTTACTTACTGAAGAACAAAATCAAAATCACTTTTACTTGACTCTCGTTTGTACTGCGCTGACTGAGTTCAAACAGTTTGTTGTCTGACTTTCGTATAAGTTGCGCATATTTAATTATACTTTATTATTTACTTTGAGAGAAAGCTTTTTGCTGGTTTTTAGCTCATCTGATTTCGATAACACTGCGCAGTTTTTGTAGTGTTATTCTGCTGATTACACACTTTACTAAGTATATATAACTTCTTCTTGCTTCAGAACTTAACTTTAAAAGTTATTTAGCATTTTACCGACATGAAAACAGTGATAGCTGTTATAGCTGCAAATTAAATGCTTATCTTGCTCTGATAATCAAAAAAAAATTTAGATCTTATTGTTTTTAAAGTCTTCTTTAGTTACGTGCGACACGTTCAGTAATTGAAAAAGCTTTCAATTTCTGACTGAACTTTCGCTACTCCAAATAAGACTGATTAGGCTTTACTTTTTACTTTCTGCCCTATGTTACATAATAGCGCGTTTTGTCAATAAGTTTCGTATTCCATAAAGATAAAGAAAATTAAAGAACCTCGAAGTAAGATCATAAGAGAAAACCTAACAGCTTAGGTTTTTTCATCTTTTATATACTCCGTTCCGACTACTAGCAGTAAAACTCTTAGCCACCAGGCGGATTGAAAGCAAGTTTGACCATTTCTACAGTGATGGTTTTCCTCCTCTACACTTCCAGCTAACTACAACAACTGTTATCAAATTGTTTGCTGCGCTGCGAAAACACGCACTGCTCCTGATTCCAGCGAAAACTTCATATTCTGCAGCTTAAGATAAGAACACTTGTCATTTTACGATTTGGTTCGCATTGAATGCTGCAAAGAGTCTCATTATTTTAAGTAAATCAGCGGTCTCTAGAACCTTAAAGTCTTTTTGTTAAGCTTTTCTGTCTTTATCTGTACTTCCAGTTCCGGGTGGTTCAAGTTTAGCAAGTTCTTCACACTACACTACCACTTCGCTGCAGAGGTTGAACGACCCTTGCGACGTTTCACCACTAGTCTTCTTGACAAGATTTGCTTACCAGTGTAGCTTAGTAGGCATTTGTGCACCCGGATTAGCTAACTCTTATTTCAACAACGACTGTTAAAGTTCCAATAAACAGCGTTGATTAGTAGCATTTTGAGATTTAGTCATTTGAAACTAAGTTGAAATTCAGCTAGGTTTTTACAATTTTTTTGCTTGAAAAGGTGGCTATACTTTTCCTTTTTTTTTTTTTGCCACGAATATTTATTGCAAAAGAATGGAAAAATTGACAGGAACCGACATGTTAACTGCAGTTGACACACAACACACCACACCGCTGTCACAATTATCAGCTTCTTCGTATTAATAATCCAAAACAACAACCCTTCTCACGTAAAAAGAAGATAAAAGCACTTACCTCTCACAAAAAAGAACGTCTTTTCAGCAAACTCCACAATGTCGACAGATTCTCTTCCAGGTTCATAAATTTTTTTTCAAATTGATTATTATTATAGAAAAATAGAAATTCGGAAAAATTTGATTACAAATTCTAGTTTTCTGAAGAAACAGTAAAGTTGAAAAAAGTAATAACGTACCCTTTGCTTGTAAATTTTTGCTAGCTTTTAGTGTTATGCTGTAATTTAAAATAACTTATAAGCCCACGCTTTTGCTTACATCACCTCACCTTTGAAAAAATGTTCAGTCATTGCATGTCAGAACCGAGTAAAAAATTTGCTGATAAACTTAACGCTCAGGAATTAAAGGAACATGAAAACATATTGAAAAGACAACTCGATGGGAAAATGGTGGCTGTGAAGCAGTTAAACTATGAAGCAGAACTGAAATGACTACGGGAATTTGAACTGCAACACACTAATATAGTGATGTTTCTGTAAGCATTGTCTACTATCTTTAGTAACTAGAAAACCTTAACCAAAAATTACCGG